AACACTCCCGTACTGTGCAGGACGCAGAAATCTTGCGGGTGGGCTTCGACAAAAAGTTCTGACTGCTACCCATCAACACCTCGCGACTTGTAATGCCAGCGTGCCACTGGAAACATTGTCCGGAGACTCCAAAACCGCTAAAAATGAGGGGTATCCCCTAACCTTCAAAGACGACCTCCTCCCTAAATGAAGGGTTTCGGAATCTCGTTGCAGCCGGATAGCTATTGGACAAAACAGTGGAAACCCCAGGGCCAAGAGCACACGATTGTTGGGGCCAGGGTTGTCTGGTCCTGGCCCCAATCCAAGCAGCACACTGATGGCGTCCTGAACCCTGAACCCTAAACAGCCCTTGTTGCACTTGGCTTGCAACGTCACGCCATGACGACCCTAAACCCCGAATCCTAAGACCGAAACCCCTAAGACGCCAAACCTGCCAGTGTGCTCTCGGTGGGGCCCTAGCTCGGGAGCATTGCCCAAAGCTGAGCTTGGGAGCAATTGCGGGACCTTCACAATGAGAATAGGGTTGTGGTGCAATTTCTCCTGTAGTTACAATGGGGGCTATAAGGGTGTAATATTGCCAATTATGTAGCCGTCTTAGAACCTCGCCATGCTGCTGGAAAACCAATCTGGGCCCTTCTGACAATGAAGCTTTTTCAAAGATCCGAAAACCTTGCGTCCACACGGATGGCTGCACTTACAGCTTTCTCCAGTGGCCCCGAAAGGGAAGCAGGCTCGTGGCAGTAGGGGCCTCAAAGGATCGGAATAGGGTGTCGGGCCTTTTTCTAGTATACATACATTATATGGAAGCCTAAGGACACTCTATATTATTTGGGTGGCACAACAATTAAGGGTTTCGACAAACTACTCCTGCATGCGGAATAAGCCGTGCCTGTATCTCTCAAGGGGAATGGTGAAAAAATCTGTGCCACTTGGAGGATCTGGAAAGTAGGTCCCTTTCGGGGTGTCTTGCGAGATGAGTTCTACTGGTATCGGTACCAAACGAGGGCTTTTAGATCCTCCCAGGTCTGACGAAATCTAGGCTACCCACCGTTCCCAAGCGCCCCCTTTTTCCGATTGTTGTCACAAAGAAAGGGTACTACTTGGGAACCAGGGAGCTGGTACACACTTGGCATCAGTCTCGCGAATCTTAGGGCTGTTTGCGGATTTGTTTCTTCGGTTATTAGGTGGGGTTGCCACCATTGCTACTGATAGCATGGTTAATCCGGACAAGACATCGGCGGGCTCTGGCATAGAACACAAGATACAAGCATTCACAAGAGCGCGCCCTCTTCTCTTCCTGCGAATACTAGATACAAGCATTCACAATAGCAGCGATGTGCCCCGATTCACCACTTCCGGCACGGGCAACTGAAGCCGAAGAGCAGTCAGCGCATGCTTCACTTGGGCAGGCACGTTCTTCATGCTGGTTAAGACCAGTTGACCGAAGGTCATCTTCTTTAGCACCTGCTTGAGCTCGAAGCTCCTCTCCCAATGAAGACGCGGCTCCTTGATCTCGTCCTCCAGAAGTTGAGTGATGCAATCTGCCCAAGGGTTCCCCATCTTGGCAGCACGTCGACGGATGTGGGGGAGAAATCGGAGGAGGCGCTCCTGATCGGACATAGTCTGCAGGAGCTCGCGCTGTCTCTTGTCCGGCTTGGCACCGTTGCGATGGTGTGGTAAGTGGCAATATTGACAGCTCGCTCCGTCAGGGCAACCTCCATCCTCTTTCAGGAGATACACGCAGGGTTTGTTGCAAACTTCAGGGTGTCCGTAGCTCCCGAACCATTCAATGGTAAAGCCTGCAACGTGCCCAGCTGGTACCTGCTGTCCCCAATCGTTCGGCGATGGCCGAAATGCCGGCGAGGACTCAGATGAGCTTGGGCTCGAGGCTTCCGAAAGGGCATAGCCAGGGTGTGCCAACCCCGGCGGAGCCCGAAACGGCTGCAGCGGCAGCGCCATTGTCGTGGAATCGGGCACGAAAGTGCTGGGAAGAGTCATGAAGCTGGCAATGGCCTCCACGAATTTAAGCCTCCTACGAGCCCGTGCTTGAGCCGAAACTTGCAGCCGTTGTTGGGTTCAGCGATGCGCTCCCACTCGGAGATCCACAAATCGGTAAGTGTTGTGTAAGTGTACGTTGAAGATCTGTTGTTAAACGGCCCAGTCCGGCAGATGAAGGGTTCACAGGTGTCGGTCTTCGACTCTACTCTCCTTGCACAAGGCATGGCAAGGATTCACCTGGGCGGTTGTCAAAATTATGGTCCCTTTTTGGGTCCTTATTATAATACGGCACCTATTATTTAGGGTACCCCAAAAGGGACCATAATTTTGACAACTACCCACCTTGTGGCTTCGATTTGATTGGGACTAGAACATAAATTCCGCTTCGTGAGAGTGGGAGTCGTGGTACTACAAGCTGCGCAACAGTGCCTCCCCAAGGTCTTCCACGGCCATTCCCAGTCCTCGGCTCTCTGTTAGATTGAGACCCAGCACCACAGAAAGCCTGCAAGCTCAAAGTTCTAGATTAAGCCCAAGAATCCGGCAGCCACTGCCTCTCGCAAGGCTTGCACTTTGTTTGGCAGGAAGGGCTTGGTCCCCTTCCGCAGCGTGATGGCTGCCTTCTTGGCAGTGACCTGGGCCTGCGTCAACGCATTCTCGTTGGCATACAGCGACCCGGCGCGGAGGGCCCCATGGGCCGCTAAGAGCTCTTGTGTAAGTGACATCTGCGCCGGCTCGGCAATGGCTCTGCAGCGAGGGCATAGCATGACAACATCATGGCAGTTGTAAGATTTGCAGGCCTCTGGCAAGTGGGAAAAGAACACCTTCGGGACGATGTAGTAGCGAGCAACTCCATAAGAGCCGCAGCCCACGCATGCGTTCCTCTCTGCAGCATCTAGACCAGCATACTCATAGTGATCTGCTGGGGTGAAGTTGAGTCGAACGACTTCGACATCTCCCTCTTTGGAGATTGAAGCCATGCCGCGTCTCACCAGTCCATCCACAGTGCGATCTTTCATGTGCATGAGCGGCTTGCCGTCACTTCCAAGAATCGTTCGCATTCCAAACTTCGTTACGCAGGAGTAGGCCCCACAGTCCAAAGTTGCCTTCAATCGACCGGCATCAGCACCGGGCGCAGATGGATCCTCGGTGCAGGCCTTCTTCACTTTGCCGGGCTTCGGATCTTTTCCTGCTTTGTCCAAGAGTCCTTGGCACCAATCAAGCAAGTGTGCATCGGGTGACTTATGCTTGCTGGCCAGCGCGGCTGCACAGTCCCGGCCAGCCAGTGCATCCCTGGCAGCATAGGCAAGCTGGTCAGGGGAAAGCGGGCGCTCAGCCCAGTTGGAACGGCGAATGGATGCATCTTTGGGAAGATCTGCTCCCAGCAGCTGCTGCGTCAAAGCAGCAAGTCCGATCGGCTGCGTTTGCCTTACCTCCCCCTCCCTTGCAGCCAACCTCGCCAGATCGACACAGCCCCGGAGCTCGATTTGGAACTGCTCTTTTAGCAACTCTGCATCCAGACCTACTGCTACCCCAACCTTCAAGTAGTGCGGATCCTGAAAGAGTCGCAGGAGGGAAGGGCAGTCCTGCAGATGAATCTCCGGAAGCAAAAGCAGTAAGCATCGATCAGCTGTCGCCAACTGCACCAGAGCCACTTCGCCCTTGGAGCCCCACTCTGTGTCAAATCCAACGATCGATGTCTCCGAGGTTTCACAAATCTCTTTGGCTGCCTGCTCGGCAGCCGATGAAGTTGTGACAACAGCCACCATCTCGGTTCCACCATTCCAAGACACCTCGAAGTCCATCGAAGCCATGGCTCCAGCCAGAGAGGCCGAAAGGAACTCTGATCCGATCGAGATGTGACACAGCAATCCGCCCTGTACCACCGGAAAAAACCGATATAGCATATATGGCACATAGAAAAATATATAGATATAGTCCTGGTGCTTGCCGAAGACTTGGGAAGCAAGTTGGTGGCTATGAACCCTTGGTCTCCTGGCACTTTGCTTGTGGTTTGTAAAGGGACTCTTCAGTCCAGAAACCTGCAGGAACCTTTGAGAGATTGTCGCTGAGGGCATTGGGTCCAGGGGGCAGGCTTTCAGGTTGTTAGGGGGGATTTCGGGACAACCCTGAGCCCTAAACCCTAAACCCTAAGAATGGTCCGAGAAGCAGGCCTTTACTGCGTGTTGCTGGATGGCTGCGATCTTGTCACAGAAGCTGAACGCTTGGTAAATCTCGTGCAGAGTGTACCTCAGCCCCGAATAGGCGGGCCAGGGGTTGAGGATTTTCGCTTCGGAGCTCACGAGTGAGGGCTTAAGCTTTCGTGGCTTGGGTTGTTGCAGCTGCAGGGCTGCGGCCTCATAGGCTTCTTGGGCAGAAGATTCAGGATGTAATGTAGGGGCCTTAATAGTCAGAATAGGGTTTCGGGGGCTCCTTATTACAATTACAATAGAACATACCCCAAACCCTATTCCAATTTATTAAGGCCCCCATAATACTGTTGATGGACAAGATCCTGCATGACCTTATATACCTAAACTATGGGATTTATGGTACTATACTATATTTGGGTCATGCAGGATTTTGTCCATCAACAGTAGCCTACCCTAAACCCTAAACCCTAAACCCTAAACCCTAAACCCTAAACATCAACAGTATTACCAGGCTTCAGAGGTGAAGGCTTCACGCGTCGACTCTTGGGATGCAACTCCTCGGCTCGGATCCTTGGTTCTGAACCCTAAGCGAGGGTTTAGGGTTGAGGTTTAGGCTAAGGTTTAGGGTTTGGTGTAGGGTTTGGGGTATGGTTTAGGGTTTAGGGTTTAGGGTTTAGGGTTTAGGGTTTAGGGTTTAGGGTTTAGGGTTCCTTGAAACAGAAATCACACCCCTCCTGACACGCTAGCAAGCTGTCCTCCTCAAAAGAGCCTCAAGGCCCTAAACACCCTAAACCCTAAACCCCTAGACCCTGAACCCCTAAACCCTGAACCCCTAAACCCCTAAACCCTAGAAACCCCTAAACCCTAGACCCTGAACACCTGGAAGGGCTGAGAGAGACCTCAGCTTCCAGCGGGCCCTCATGTCCAACAAAGGCGGCAAGGTCGTAAGCCTCCGGCTTCAACCAAGGGTTTTAGGGTTACTCAAAGGGGGGTACCATACCGGCTCCGATAAGGGTCACTATATAATGGTTTAGATACTTCACTGGGGTCTAAAATTCAAGGATTGAGGCTTTAGGACCCTAAACCCTAAACCCTAAACCCTAAACCCTAGGGTTTAGGGTTCAGGGTTTAGGATCTTTGATGCAAGGGTTCGGGTCTTCGGGTTCAGGGCATTTGGATCTCAGGGTTTGGGGCTCAGAGCTCGCGTGGAGGGCTTAGGGGCGCTTGCACATCGGAGGAAGGCCCCATTTAGGGTTTAGGGTTTAGGGTTTAGGGTTTAGGGTTTAGGGTTTAGGCCCTAAATTACTGAAACTAAATCGAAGCTCTATGCCCGCCTTTGAACTCTAAACCCCAAACCTTAAGAACTTCTTGAACTGCGAAGCCTGAACCCCAAACCTCAAAACCCTGCACCCTAAACCCCCAAACCTGAGACCCTAGAAGCCAACATGCTGAGCGAGAGACCACAGTAGCCAGGTCCCGCCCCGACTCCAGCGTGACTTTCGAAGACGTCCTCTTGACTTTGGGTTTAAGTTTTCTCGGAGCAGGGTTCAGGGTGTGCGGCGTAGGGTTTACGGAATGCTGGTTTCGGGCTTCGGAGTATGGGCTAGAGTTCTTTCTGGATTGAGATTGACTTTGAAGCATTTGAGATTGCGGATCTTGCTTGGAGGCTTGTGAGCCAGCAGGAACCCAGTGCCTGAGGGTAGGCCTTTGCCTGGAAGGCAAAAGCATGTGAACACGTCGAGTACGTACTCCGGGTGCACGGTTTGGCCGTCAAGTTGAACCAAGTTGGAACCACGGTTCGAATGACGACACTCGTCTGCCCAGAAAGTAGCTTATCGAACTCAAAGCTCTTGAGCCCGAACCCCTGAGCCCTAATACCCCAACACTCTGAGTTCCGAGCACTCGTATAGGAGGCTTTAGGGCTCAAGAGACAGACAGATAGTCAGGCAGACAGACAGACAGACAGACAGACAGACAGACAGACAGACAGACAAACGTGCATCATTCCTTCCTTCCTTCCTTCCTTCCTTCCTTCCTTCCTTCCTTCCTTCCTTCCTTCCTTCCTTCCTTCCTTCCTCCCGTTCGTTCGTCCCTGCATGCATACGTATGTGTATACATACGCGGATGTGTGTGTATATATACATATATACATATGCATGTTTAGATATGGTTTTATCTATCTATCTATCTATCTATCTATCTGTCTGTCTGTCTGTCTGTCTGTCCATCGATCTATCTGCCTATCTGTCTATCTATCTATCTATCTATCTATCTATCTATCCAACTATCTATCGATTTATCTATCGAACAATCTGTCTATCTATCTCGACCTATCTACCTTTCTATCTATCTATACACATACAAATGTATATATATATATATATACACACACACGCATGTATACATATATGCATACATGTCAGATATATATATATATATATAGAGAGAGAGAGATGTATGTGTATGTGTATATATATATATAAGTATGTACATGCGTGAACTAAGACGGGCGATGTTGCTATATTACGATCGCGTCAGATCCATCAGTTCCCAACGCCACCCGATCTCCTGCTGGAACTCCGCATTTCCTGCAGAGTGTGGGTGGAAGGCAATAAAAATGTGCCTATACAGTTTTTGGGGGCTCCTTATTAAAACTTGAAAAAGCATACACCAAGACCCTATTCTAATTGTTGTATATTATTGTTAAGTTAAGGCCCCTACATTAGGCAAACATGTTAGAGTTCCGCATGCTTGAGGATTCCGGGTCTTGACCGAGAGGACCCAATACCCCTTAATTAAGGAATCTACCTTAATTTATGGGCGGGCCTTAATATGATGATTTAAAGTATGTTCCTTAATTAAGGGATATTGGGTTCTCTGGGTACTTGGAGGTTCATGGGTAGTTATAAGTAGGGTTATAAGTAGGCTAACTGTAGTTATAACCTCTATTCGGGGACTTATAACTCCACTTATAACTACCCATGAACCCCCAAGTATGACCCCTTATAGACCCCTTGTAGAACCCTCTTATACATCCCTTAAAGGAGCCTTATAACTACCCATGAACCTTCAAGTAGGGAACCCTGAGGACAGTGATTCAGCCGCTCATTTTCCCCAGCAGGCCGGATTGCAGTGCCAAGAACTTCTATGGGGCCCCCAAAAAGCACATAAGCAAAAATTAGGATATGGATATCCCATATAAACCCCCTTATAATCAAGCCCCATAAGGTAGGGATATCCCTATAGAATGCTGATGCTTATGTGCTTTTTGGGTTCCTAATTCTAGTGACTCTAGTGTTTGGGGCTTTACGGTTTTAGGGTTTAGGGCTTCATGTCTTTAGGGCTTTAGTATCTCAGGATTTTCGGCTCTGAGGCGCGGGCTTGTCAGGTTTCAGAGTGTCTGAGAACAACCTTCCCTACGGGTCCATGTGCACAAATAGTGCATACTTTGGCCTCAAGAGTAGTCCCTAATATAGGTACATTGGGGCCAAAGTATATACTATTTGGGTACATGGACCCTTATGCCCAAAATCCTAAGCTCTTATGGTACCCTTTGAAAAAGAACCCTTTACAAGGAACCTATATAGGTACTTTGAGGCCAAAGTAGATACTATACTCCAAGGTTAGAAGTATGGGCCCCTAATATGGGCAGCCCTGAGGGGGGTTCTAGGGTCCCTTAAGGGTACATATAGGGTATATTCTAGGTATATGAGGGTCCCAGGGTTAAGGGCCCATACTAGGGGCCCATGGGTTCAACCTTAGTCTAGGACATTTTCAGGTGGGTAGTTGCCGTTATAGGAGCCTGATAGAAGGTCGATATAACTTATAGAAGCCTTAAAGAAGCCCTACATACCCTAAACTCCCCACCTGTAGTTTCCTTTAACTTAGATATACTACTTGGGCACACGGGCCCTTCTGAACCCTCAACGAAACTCCGTGGCCCTTACCCCCGACAGTACCAGGCTTCAGCGGTTAGGCATGGGGCACCTAAACCATAAAGCCCGAACCCCTAAACCTTAAACCACACTTCAAAGTCCTACTTGGGGGTTCATGGGTAGTTATAAGTAGGGTTATAAGTAGGCTAACTATAGTTATAACCTCTACTAGGGGACTTATAACTCCACTTATAACTACCCATGAACCTCCAACTATCCCTGCCTCGGCTTCGGCGCCTTCGGCGGAAGGCTGCCATATGGAGAAGCGCCAGTCCGGGTCCTTGGGGCTCCAAGTCGACAGAGGTTCTGCTGTAGGGTTGCTTGTGTGTGTGTGTGTGTGGTTTAAGAGTGTCTTGTTGTAATTAATATACGCTCTTTATGTGTTTTTTAACAGTTTTCTTGTAATTCATATACGCTGTGTTTATGCGTTTTTTTTTTCGGTTTCCTTGTAAGTAATATTGCTTCAAGGCTTTGGAAGGCTTCGAGAGTTCAGTTTGCCGTGAGCAGGGTTACCGGCATAATCTTCTTACCTCACATGTCCAGCATATTAGGGGAACCATGAGTTAAAGGGGAACCATGAGTTAAGCTTTGGGACTATATGCGGATTACAGTTCTCCCCCCAAAAAATTGAAGGCTACTTACGCTACAACTACAGCCTATAAAGCCTAAAGGCCTAAACCC